ATGACTTTTTATATGTGTGGCATGGCGTTGTTTTGCGGGGAGATGTCTAGTTGATATACTAACTTGTGATGAATTAATACTAGTCTGCCATGCGATTCGATCGGAAAAATAAAGTATGAGGTTTATCAATGAGGCCGATTTGATTGCTGCGGTTGCGAAGTGCTTTAATTTACGTTATTTTCTACTGTTCCAAGTGAATACCGATCACCTATATATAAACTACTAGCTTTTGCCCGCGACTTCGTCCACGTGGACTAAGTAATTCAGGCAGCAAAAAAACTCTGGGTTATTATAAATTAAAAGAGAAGGATATTCCCTGTGCAATACAATGAGTGTAATTCAAGGTCCTTGTTATATTGTAAAAATATACATGAATCCTAAAGTGGCTCAGATCGGTTTCTGAACAAAACTGAGAAACTTACAAAAACATTACGAAAAACCTAAAATGATTGTTTAGTATGGAAGTACTATGTCAAAGATATCTTCTTCTTGCTTCCCCGGTAGTTGAAGGATACGTGAAGCATTTACCAGACATAAAAAAAGGATGGAAGTTCTACAGCCGGTAAAAAGATTAGTTAACGATATGATATATTTAGAAGGTTTGTTAATATTATTAGTAATAATTACTGCGATTCATAAACAGATGAACATAAAAGTATACATTTAGGGAACAGGCAAAACTTTTGAATTTCGTTTGATTTTGGCAAAAATAAGGATCGAAAGCATACAACATACTTTTTCGATAGGCCCAAGGGGAACGTGCTGATAAGATAAAAACACTTAAATGGCCCTTAGTAAAAGTATCTAGGAGCACCACAGTAACAGTAAAAGGTCTGATAACGACCAATTAGCGATTATAAAAGTTGAAGTCCTTTGAAATTCCGTAGGTAAATATTTCAGTAGAGGTCTTAAACACTTTGAATATAACGCAACTGGTATTCGATACAACAAACTTTTTTCACTTTTTGATACGCTTATCATGTTCCTATTCACCTCAAATTAAACATTGTTGTGAATTTGTCATTGCAAGTCAAATACCTAAATATTAAACACAAACAGATGAACTTTATACTTGTGAAAGTGCAATAGAACCAAACATTGAGGTAAACTTACACGAGAGCCACATAGAACTGACCGTGGGAGAAACAGACCTGTCGTATTACCTCTGCGACTTATTTATGGTCATGGCGAAACAAATCTTCAGGGAAAACTGGAGCCTTTTAAATTCTAAGAGGAGATCATTTGTTATCTGTTTCTCCCTGAGCAGTTCCGGTCAAAATTGTGGCTTCTACCACGTTCTGTTGCAAAGCTTTGACTTGCAACCTAGTGCCGTTGCAAAGTTTGGGTGGCTTTAAATTTCTTAATAACATAACAGGTGTATCCACACCCTGTATAAGTATGTGGTATGGCAGGCATGGTGGGTTTATAAAACTTCGACACCCTCAATCCCCTTTTTAGGGGGTAGTTTAGAAAAACTGAAAATGATTAAGTTAATAATTTATTTAGATAGGTATTTGTGCCAAGTTTCTAGTCTGTTAACCCAAGGAATACGTTTTGTCATACAAACTTTTATCCACTTTTTACCCCTCTAGGTAGAATTTTAAAAATCTAGATACATGCTATTCTTTCTCATCTCAAGTATAAATACTGAGTTTCGAGTTAATTGAATGCACGTTAAAATTATTCCAAACAAAATCTTCGACACTCTCCCGTTTGTTTATTTATCTATTCGCTCGCATCTTTCTCTATTCGCCCAGATAGCAGATGTGGGTTTAAAGCATAATCCGAAATTTTCTTTACATTCAAACATCCACGAGCTCCGTGGCCGAGTGGTTTGCACGCCGAGTTTCATGGTGTCGCCGACTCGAAAGGTCCCGAGTTCGAATCTCGGTGGGGGGCAGATGTTTGTGTGATGAATACAAGCATTTGTACAGCAGTCGTGGATGTTTAATATGTATTTCTATATAAATATACTTATATATGTACAGTATATGTATTCTATCCGTTACCCTAGTATCCCATAACAAAAGCCTTATAGTGCTTAGCTTGGGGCTAGGCTAATGGGTGTGAGTGTTGGAAATATTTATTTATTTATTTATTCAATAGTGGAGTGGACCATATTTTTGTCTATGACTAAGAGCGTGAAAACGTTTTTACCGAAATAGACACTTTATTTTGTGTAGACGCTGCTCAAGATTGCATAATGAGCTTTATTTCTATTCATAAAAGTCAAAGTTCTAATCAGGGACACTTAATAGTTAAGAATAATTTGAAAGATATGTTGAAACATAAATATCTGATTCAAAACTATGTTCCCTTGCTGGTTGAAATTATCTGTGCCCCTTTTCGTAAGCAGGTTCTTAGCTTAGCTGTGTGAAGAAGTTTAGCGTTTTTGTAAAATTTCATTCCAAAGTTCATTTTTTATTCTTATAATACAGCCTTATTTTCCCAACGGTCATTCTACGTGCATGCATGCAGGCGAAACTCTGAATGGTGATATTTATAAAATATAGTTTCAAGGGGTAATTATTTAATTCTAAGAAAATGCATTCTGAAAAGATCTGAAGTTTTTCAAACTATAAAGTTTAACTGCTGAATATTATCTGTATTTGATAGCACTAGAACAAAACAAGAAACCGGTTTTATAACCACCTCTTTGAATCAAATTTCACCAAACAACGCGACTGCAAGACGGCAAAGTGAATAAAGTTTCTAAAATATCATATAGAGACTGGAGTGTCTCTTTATATTTTATTATTAAGACTAAGCAAATGACTCCAATGCAATGAATGATGAGGAGCTCGATGGCGCAACTGGTTAGCGCGTTCGGCTGCGATCGTTGAAGTTAAGCAACTTTCACAGTGGTCGGTCATTGGATGGGTGATCAAAAATTTACTATCTCGAGCTCCTCCGTGCTTCGGAAGGCACGTTAAGCCGTTGGTCCAGGTTGTATCTGCAGTCGTTAGCACCCACCAATCCGCACTGGGCCCGCGTGGTGGGTCATGGCCCAATCTCCCTATCCCATCCATAGGGAAGGCCTGTGCCCCAGAAGTGGGGACATTAATAGGCTGATGATGATGATGAAATGACTCCATCCCGCCATACTCCATAAACTAAATACTCCATAAATATAACAAGAGTTCAGAAAGGAATTTAGCTGGTATAGCAAAAAGTACCTACGATTTTCGCAAAAATAATACATACTTAGTTTAATCATAAGTTACCACAAATATAACTAGATAAACCAGTTAATTTACTCATTCGTTAATATAAAAATATTTGAAAATTTTCAGCCAAACTACATATTATATTTTTAGCAAATAATTTGATAACTCTCTACGCACACAACTTAATGATCAGAATCTACCTCTAAAGTACAAATTAGTACACAACCACTTATGACTATAATCGATTTTATCCAATTTCAATAATGGGAGGAATCTTTATAAGCTTGCGAGACAAAGTGCAAGCGATTTACGCCATTTTACGCCTAACAATTGTAGTCCGCCAACAAAGACTACACTGCAACGTAACAAGGTTTATTTTGCCCCGCTCATGCATTTTACTAGTATATCTAAAGCAATTTATATAAATCGCAGCGTGAACGAAGTTCAACAGTGTGGCCCGCTCTTTAGCATGTCTGTCTTGGTGAGGAAACTTAATCCATCACTATTTAAATGTAGGACTTATTTCATTTAAGAAGAAGCTTTGAGTCTTCCAATAAATTTTCTATTTTATTTTATTCATACAAAATGTTCCCTATTCCATCCATAGGGAAGGCCTGTGCCCCAGCAGTGGGGACATTAATAGGCTGATGATGATGATAATACAAAATGTTTAAGTAAGCATTAAATTATTCTACTTCTAGTCGTGAAGCCAAGAAAGCTTCATAAAACATGGGGCAGATTGGCTTGATTGATTGAGCTCCCCCAATCTAACCAGCATGAACCCTACTTTGTCATCTAAGCAAACCTGATCGCTGCTGATAGTAAGTTCTCAAAAATTACAGTTTAATAGTTATCATTATTGCTCCGGTAAATTTAATAATAGAACACATTATTTTGAAAAAAGAACATGTAATTGTTCAACTAGTTTGAAACTATTAGATAACCAAACTTACCAATTTCTAATTTTGTTCTGTTACTGTCCTCGTTTTAGTTTTGAATGATTCTATCAAAAGCCAGTGCGTACTGGCAAGAACAGATCGACGCACCAGATATTTAAGAGCTTATTGAATTTTCAGTTCCTAGAAATAATAGCCAGCTGCAAAATCGAAAGACTTTTGTACTGTCTCCCTGTAAGACAAGACTCGGGAATCACTCTCCTCATTATAGAATATTTTCAACCTATAGTACTATTCGAAATGATTTCTTTTAGAGAGAGAGAGATTCGTTTTAATTAGAAATGCATATTGTGCTTGCATCTAGTAGGTTACAAAGTAGCTGATGTCTTCTTTGTATGCATATAATTACATGGATATTCTTTGTAACCGTAAACCGTAACAGTTTTGTGAGCCATTAAAAAAAACAGCATTTTATGTTTATATTTTCTAATTTGTATCGATTTAGATTATTTGTATTAGATCTCAGAAAAGATTTTTAATATTAAATCTGTCATGACAATCTATTGTAACTTTGAATCGTTTTATTGATTTACGGTAACTTTCGTGCGTATCTGATATAATATTACCGTCCTGAATCTACAAATTGTGTGTTCCGTGTCAATGACAATTTATATGTCACCTAGGATTACAAATTTTATATGTTTATTTTTTTATGCGTAAGTACTTATTCAGTTATTATGATGTAACTTCGAGGTTACAAAAAAGATATAAAAATGTTTATGTATTACCATTCCTTCCCCTTTCCTGGGGCACAAAACTGGCATTACAGAGCAACATCACCAGGCTCGGTATGAAAATTCATTGTGACCTGATTCTGAATATGAATATTCGCAAAGAACTACAATGAAATCTTGTCTGTTAAAAGGAGGTCACTGACCTTCAAGTCTCTCGAGTGCCGTAACTCCTGTCTCCTAGGAGGTTGGCCGGGCAGATCTGAGTAGACTAGGTTCCGTACCGCCCCGCGAAACTTTGGCTCGAAGATCACTGATGGCAGCGCCAGCGTCGTCAACTTTGAATTATATCTGCAAAAGAAAGTTCTTTTAGTACGTTCAAAATTTATAATATATTTATTTAGATATATAGGTAAATAACGTGGCAGGAAATATACCATGTTTGTGCAGTTTCCAATATGTTGCCGAGGCAAAGACACTTGTTCTATAATTGTGACTCCTTATGCTACTATAATTGATACATTGTAAGCAGTGACCTAGATTGTATAAAAACATTAACAAAAGATATTTAAATCTAAAGAAAATTTTACTAGAAAAAAAACCACGCGGCAGCACAAAATATAACTAAAAGATATTTAATTTGAAATTATCTTTATTTTCAGACGGCAAAAACTCAAAGTCGAAAAACCAATACTTCCTAATTGAAAATAAACTTGATCAAGCTACACCGATCCAACGAGTTTAATAAATTATGAAACATTTTCAACAGAGAACTTCCAATAGAAATTCACTTCGTTCCAACCCATTACTCATTCACTCCCTATCTATTCGAGGATATGACTTCAATTTTACAATTTCCTTCTAGCAACACCGAACATTCATCTGGCGAGTGACAAGGAAAGCTTGCAACAATTTATCTCACGTCCTTTTCTATTAAAAGCGCGGCGAGCTACAATATTTTAACGCAGTGACGTGTCTTGCGGCCAGTTCGTGTTTTAAAATGTTCTCCTAACTTAGATTAGGTGGTATCATCTGCTGTGAGATGCGGGCAGCTGACATCTTTTTATAACTTCATAACTCTAGAGGGAGGTTCTGAGATTTTCCCTTTTGAGGTAAAAGTTTATTTCTTGTTACTTACAAATTACATGAAAACAGCATAAATAGTCGAGTAGGCAAGGTAGTCAATAGGGATAAGGATATATTGTTTCATGGTCACTAACATTATAGCTATTAACGGGATTGTTACCAAGGTAAATGGTAACATTCCCGTTAATAGCTATAATGAGGATTGGAACGATATTTTAAAAGAAAGGGTGAAGCGTCTGCCTTTGAACAATTTCCGCCTTACAATGTACTGCAAAGTACTGATTGAATCTAATAATGAGCGAAATAATCTTGTCAATGTATAAGGTGAAATTATTGCTAAACGCTAGACCGTTTTTAAATTATTGATCACATGCAATAGTATTTGTTTAAAAATCCTAGTTTTTTTTAAATTATATTTATTTGAAAATCTCAGTTGACTAATATTGATTTATATTTATAGAAGGTTATTGATTTATCTTTTAGCGTGTTTCCAAATTTCTATTAGGTGCTTATAAATTTTTGCATTTTCTTACCTACTTTTTCTTAACAAAATGGTCTTTTTAAATATACCTATTCTTATAACCTAGGTGTCCAAAGGACAATGTTAAATTTGGCCTAAGAACCAACACCAATTTGGCATTTATGATAATTCTTAGTAATTTTTTGCGATATTTATCAGTATTTAGATTGTGACAGACACTTCTAGTTAAGTGAGCTATATTAAAAAGTTAAAAAATAATCTGAGACTACCATTTTATGTGTATAATCTGTGGCAGCGCTGCAAACAAAACACTTTCTTCCTAATGCCGGCACTTCACTTGGCTATTCGTGTTTGCTTTTTGAAAACTTGACATCAGTGGTAGTTTATATTTTTTTTTAATTAGTCCAATTACAGAGCATAATGCGACTCAGTGGCGCACAATGACGAATTATGCTGATGCTTAATGGGAACGTGAATTAGTTTTCAAATGCACCAGCAGAGTGCGCTAAGTTCAGTGTTGAAAAAAAAGTCAATGTTGGTACCTTCATCCATACTTATATTTATTTTTTAATACAGTTTGAATTAACTATGATTATTTAAAAAAAAAGAACAATGAAAGGAAAGCTTTTAAAAAATTTCAACAATAAATAATATTTATTAGTAACGATATTAAATAAATAAAACATTTCGATCAATGCCAACTTAAAGAAAAAACACTTGTTTATTTTCTGTCACTGAGTTGGTACGATTGCACGCATCACACTAAAACATTACTTTTGAGAGTGCTCGATTGTGCAAAGCGTTGCTGTTGTTGAAACATTCAACGATAGGCATTATGCCGCATAGTGCGCTGTAGTGCTATAATTGGAAAACTACCTGTCTGTCCTTTTTATTCCATATTAAGCATGACAAGAACAGGCTGTTGTCAAGTGAAGGGCCGGCATAAAACTCGATACTCTGTGGTTGTGGTGCAGGCAGTTTGCATTCGTAGTAATCTGTGGCATTCGTGGATTCTCGTATCGGATTTCCTGTTGTGTGTGTTTATTTGCGATTGTTTTTCCTATAATTTAACTATTTCGGCTATCTAATATGCCATCGATGTTACCAAATAGCAGAGACCTTGTTACCAAGTGCTAGAAAATCTGTGCCACAACATCCTGAGAGGATCATACTGCCAAATTATTCAAGAGCAGCTGATACACATTCAAGCTGCATATTTACACAATATACATGTGATATACAAATAAAAAACAATGTGATACAATTATGTGAAAAATAGTCAAAAAATAAGAAGCAAAACTACAGTTTTTATTTTATTCATGATTTCTACCAAGTTTTTCCTAATAGTTGTTTTTAAATCGCACCGAACAAAAATGAATTAGTTGTAATATTAATTCAATTCATACTAAGTTCATAGGTTGACCTATTGTTTCATTTAATATTAAACATAACCTCAAAAAATATTTAGTTTTCCTGATAATTGAAGTTCTCAGAAGTGTCCGTCAATAATCTTTGTTTTTACAGTCATTTACTTGCAATTTCGAACCTAGAAATAATATTTCATGATTGTTGGTTCTTAGGCTAACAATGTATGGACGCAGAACAATGTCCTTTACCCAATGAATAAAATTATAGGGCGTATATAAAACAATATACATTATCTATACTCAACATCAGCTTAGGGCATTAACGTTTTGTAACGAAGAGCAAAGCAACCAGCAACATCAATCTTCTTTCTTTACTGTGTACTTACTTACACAATAGATCACTTTGCGTAGATTGTCTAGTTCTCCAACTTAAATTTAGAATTTTCAGCTAGAGGCATCCTAATCATAATTACGCAGCTATTAGCTCTGCTATGCATTGGGCTCGCCCGAGTAGAAGTTGTTCGCACTTAGGATAGAATTTAATTAATTCAGTCACTTAGTCTGCACCTACGTACAGATAGAACAATACAATAAGGAGTGAAATCGCCTGGCTAATCTACATTTATTCTTAATTTGTAGTGCTGTATCTGTAGTATGTCGATGATAATTTTCAGATATCGCTTCAATTACCTATTTAGATTTTTTTAGGTGACTACTTATTTAGGCGCATTGGGCAGTTTCTAAGATGGGAAAAAAACATTATATTCGCGACCTATGTTAAAAAATTAGACATCTCTTTGTATATCCGAATTGCTTTCTTTCTGTTTAGTGTAAAAATATACTTTCGCTAAAATACGCTATAAATTTTACGAGAATCATGTTATTTTAGAGAAAAAGTATACCCTATGTCAATATGTATAAAGATACAATATTTATTTTTCATCAGTTAAATATATTTGAAATAGGTACCTAAACCGCAGCCTGTAATGGAAAAACGCTCCATCAAAATGTCTAAACAGAAGAAGACTCTTTAGAAAATCGCTACAGCAAAAATTACTTACAAAGTTAACAGATTACAAATACCTTTTATACCAATATATATCCAGAGTTTATTAAAAAGAGCCTTTTAGAATAATAACATTAGGTGATCGTACAAAAAAAACTTGTGTGATGTCATTTCCAAATTATAATAAATTGTACGTAACATGATTTTTAAATACTGTATGAATATTTTATATCCTTTAGACATACAAAAACTAAAAAGCGATGTTTCGCTTTGATCATGGAATGGAATCAATGATATCACTAAAGTATAAGACTAACTCCACGTAGTACGATGCACGGATGGATTTGACTTTTTTTTGAAAATGTAGTATAGTCATAGTTTTTGCTGACATATTTATATTTTAATTAATGTATTGTTAAATAATAATTTCTTTAAAATATTCTCTCAGATAATCTCTTGCCTTTAAGTTGTATATAACGCTAACAGCTCTTTTTTGCAATGCAATATACTGTCGATATTAGCAGCTGAGCCCCACAACAAAATATATATGTCATAACGCTATGAAAGCAACCAAAGTTAACTAAGGAAACTATGTTAATATGGATCAAAGATATTTGAAATTTGATCTTTATTTTGGGAGCCAAATCTCAAAACTCTTTACAGAGAGGATTTATTTTTGCCACTCATCTAATGATCGTCTATTGCCTAACTTCCTCGATCACAAACCTAACGCGTTAACCATCTGCGCCATCGATCCTATTTCCTATCGTTATATCGTTTTTACAAAAAAATGTGATAAGCAAGCATATGCCTCCTACTCTGTACACGAAAATATAACCCTAGGAAACCAATTGGGTTTCCAACGGATACCCTGATAAACTTACTCACTGTCTAACACTTTCCTTGCTAAGAGGCCTACAAGTCGTCATACTGTTCTTGTTTAATTGATCTTCCCTCGTCGTGAAGATCATCAATCTGCCTAAACCGTTTAACAAATTTCATATAACACAGGTTAAAGTAAAAAATCACAACGTATCCTGAAGGACGCAACACTAAAGATTGTAGTAACTTGATTAAAGAATATTTCGCCAGGCAAGCGATCCATTTTCAGGCGCCTTAGACAAGCCACCATCTTTCTATTCGAGCTAACGCTAACTTTAAGTTAAAAAATAATCTTAAAAAATATTTTTAGCGAGCTTGTAAATGCCATATAATAAGTAAATTTTTAGAGTGAAACTTTCATTATATCATACAAATTTATGTTATTTACGGGATCGTTACATGGTAGCAATCCCGTAAATAAAATAAATAACTTTAATGCTAGTGCCCATGATAGTTTTCTTTTTCGTTCATCTTTAGTGTGCTGCATTACACTTTTAATTATTATAAAAAAATCAGGCCTTGTCAACAA